TTCTTGTAAATGAAATGAATTTTATTATATTACCGACTACCAACTCGTCCGCGCTCGCCACGGCCACGCCCCAAATAGCAGGGGAAGTGGGGGAGCCAGCTTTACCACTAGCAAAACAATCAAGGTTAAATGTAAACAAAAAGGGTAAATTTAAAAAAAAAGAGAGTCACGCAAAACTACATCAATCAGCTGTTTTTCGAATCATCTTAAACAGATAAAGACAAACCAAGGAGGTTTTTCCAACACCCCTTCCGCCGAAAACTGCAATAGCTATTTCTTCGCCTGGATGTATTCTCTCGAATGTGCGACCAAAACCAGAGTATACGCACAATGGACCACACGACTGCTCGCTTTTGTCGCTTCCACGCGTTGGATGAACTAAAATTTTCACAGGTTACATAAGTAGTAAGAATACTGCAATTCATTCAACGTCCAAGCACTTGCCTTTACGCAGTCTGAAAGGGAAAAACCGCTTCCATCTGAACCTTTTCGTTTTACTCGTATCTGTAAAAAGAACATTGACAAGCGAGATTATGAAAATCTTCTTCATAACCACCTCCTTCAGTGGATACCAGTGGTTCCGTAGGGATCGAGACAGGCTCCTCACTAGCCGGTGATACCATTCTGTCTTCATTCTCGAATCCACTATTCTCCAACGGCTCTAAAGAACACCATTTGTTAATTTCAACTCATGAGGTCCTTACGTCAACATATAGAAACCTTGTATTTCCCGTCTCCGTTGGCGCCGGCTCACTGATTTGCGGATGGCACAAATACTTCGACGGAAAAATGATGCTCGCTAAATATTACACATTGACTAGCTATAACAATAAAAATAATCACGCACACATTTACCCACTAATCATGGATGCCTCAAGAATATCTCGTTTTCCGTTGTGGAACACCCCCATGTGACGCTGCCCCACTTAGCCATCAGTCCTATTGATAGGATCGGAATCGCTCCATTACGATATGTTCTATCGCACCTCAATCCCAAAAGCTCGACTGTAATCAGAGAATAAAACTGGTGAGCTGGAGGTGACGGCGAACACAGATGAATCGCAATTAAGCTGGAACCTTGCCAATTCGGAATAGTGTTTACATATGTGCTGAATGCACTATCAACGAGTGAAGTTGTCTAAATTTCCGTTTTTCGTTTTTTGCTAATTTTATCTCCTACCTGCATTCAGTTACCGAGCAACAAGTGTACTACTTTCCGAGGGTTTTTATTGGACCTAATATATAAGCACTGCCCTTCACCTATTCAAGGTTTACACATTATTTGTAATGCTCTTAACTCACAGCTCTTAACTTCCGCCCAGGTATGGGAGAGAATTCGTAAATTGGTTTGAAATTATGATGGGAAAATAAAATTACAAACTTTAAATGGGCTTGCCAATGCTAGTTCAGAATTCTCGGAATCGTACATGGAGGTCAGATGAACATCGCGCCCTGAAAAAATGCAATAGAACAAAGCAGTGATTGCAAATGGAATCCTCAAACTGGTTATACCTGATACACTTTTATGCCCGTCCCGGAAGTAGCGTCGTCTAAAGAGCACTGGCTTTGCATCACAAATAGGATTTTCTTCACTGACGTCCAAATCTACTCGAGGTAAAGAGCCTACAGACCGGTAGCTAGCTTCACGACTCGATGCAGGAAGCGCTTCAGTTGAAGAGCCAGGCCTAAAAACGGGATGACTTATTACTAATTGTGCGTTTACTGCAATGAGTGATCACAGAAGGTTCATCTCGGTAGAAAGTCCCCATTTTCTTGGAAATGCACTTGTTGAGCGTGACAATTACGAAGATCAATACGAATTTTGAATATTCTCTGTTTGCTGTGTTCCTAGGATGGCCCCATCCCTTCGCCTCCAAAATACCCTGAGCCAAGGTGACCCGCTAAAAAATATAAATTCCTGCTAATCCAATCGATCCTAATTTCAATGGACGACATTAAATGAGGCTAAAAAAGTCGTAAGGCCTTAAGAATACTACTACTACATTATTATAAAGTACTCAAATTATGCATACCCATCCACAACTATTTCTGGTCCGATTATGGAAAACCTCGTACGTCTACGGCTTCCTCTAAGAACTTGCCGACGTAAAATAGCGTTGAGACTCTACTGAAACAATCAGAAAATATTCCTTAGACAACACGACGTCAATAGCTCACCGACGGCCAGCGAATAGGGCGATCGCGATCGCTCCATCGTTTGTCGGGCGGCTTGCCAATCGCCTGCCAACGAGAGCGACGGCGCGATTGCGCAACTCCTTCAAAGTGCCAACGCCAAGCCGCTCTTGTCGCAGCGATGCACAATCCGCATCGCTAAGACCGACGTCATAGTCGGCGACGGACCAAGCGATGGAGCGATCGCGATCGCTCCATCGCTTGTCCGTCGCTTGCCAATCGCTCTCGGTCGAGCGATTGGCAAGCGATTGCGCAATCGCTTGCAAAGTGCACAAGCGACGGGCGATTGGCCCCGCCCCCAGTCAATGCAGTCAGCTGCAGGTATCCAGCCATTGCCATTGCCCGCGCTCTGTGGCCGCTTGCAAGCGATTGCGCAATCGCTTGGTCCGTCGCCGACTATGACGTCGGTATAAGCGATGGAGCGATCGCGATCCCGCCATCGCTTGTCCGTCGCCTAGTGGCCGATGTCAGACTCTGCGATTAGTCAAATGCCAATCGCGCGATTGAACATGAGTCCCATCATGACCAATCGCCCCAATCGCGCGATGGGCGCGACCACTCCCCGTTGTGGCAGGGAGCGATCAATAGCTGGCGCGCGCCCCCTCTCGATCGATACGTTGCCTGCCACAACGGGAGTGATCGCGCCCATCGCGCGATTGGAGCGATTGGTCATGATGGGACTCATGTCAATCGCGCGATCGTCGCGCGAATCGCGCGATTGACATTTGACCGATCGCTCCAATCGCAGAGTCTGACATCGGCCAGCTAGTGACGTTGAAGTCTTGCTTCGCGCTTCTATTATAATAGTTTCAGACATTTGGGCGCTATTGCATGATACGGCAGTATCCTCTAGGACTAAGCCCACAGTGGCAGTCACCTCGGGGAGAATGGAAATTGCTTATGCAACCTGGAGTCTCCCCTCCTCGCCTAGAGGATAATCCAGTTTTCAACAAAAAGTGTATGCTTTGAGCGGTTTTGAGTGCGGACCAAAGAGGCCCCGTAACCGCAACAGCGCCCAATTTTGCTCAGCAATCAAACCAACGCTGGAACCACTTGGCTCAAATCCATTCGTCTGTTTCGAAAACCTCACACGAGATTCCTGGCTCAACCGAAACTCTTCAACAACCTCAAAAACGAGCGATGTCTTTTTAATTTACATATTAGAGAAAAACTGTGCCGCTCACCTGTTCAAGCGCAATATTTCTTATTGGTACCTGGGTGTCAGTACGACAGGTTGGACAAGATATGTTCTCGCTCAACCAGTGCTGTATGCATTCTGCACAAAATGAATGGCCACAAGAAAGCATTGAAGGCTGAACCATGAAAAATTTAGAAAGTTGCTTCCGTTGAACCCTATGTAAAGCAAATTCCACCTTTCTAAAAATATTCATGCAAATTGAGCAGCAGAAATCGGCTGGAAGTGAGGAAAGACGGCGCAGCGTTCGTGTCACCTCGCCACCTGCGGAATTTGTCAACCCCTGCAACAATTCAGAATCCTATTCGTAAAGTAAAAATGATATATAAGGAGTTCTCACCGAGGAAAAGCTAGAATGTTTGACGATTGGTGGACGTAAACGGTCTAGTGACGACATATCCCTCGTTCTAGTTTTTTGTGAAGCAGGCAGCAACTGTCTGAATCTTGCCCCATAATTTTTGAAGCGCTATGTGCCTCTCGGGGGGGCAGTCACCGCGCGCGGCTGTGCGGCAACAGGAAATTCGAACATTCCAGCTTCTCACGGAACATTCCAGCTGCCCTCGCATGTCATGTGACTGCCCTCACCCCCAACCCCCCTGAATTGGCTACACTCCCCCTGGCTCACGAATTTCCTGTTGCCGCACGGCGCGCGCGCGGCGACTGCCCCCCCCTTGTTTTGCTCATTTCGCCATTTTTGAATATTCACTGATTGCAAAGAAATGAGACTTGGAAGGAAGGGCGAGTGCAGTTACCAGCTAGAGCGTTCAATAAAGGAAATTTCCGTAAGCACGATGTTTTGTCCGTAAATGACAAAGATGCAGACATTACGGTAATACTACAGTAATTATTGATAAGGTCGCAGTTGATAGCGCCGAGGTTATCGAAGTGTAAGATCTGAGTCAGATCAACTTGAAATCGTTTCAAGGTTTTAGGAAGACATATAGGGCAGCAATGCGCAAAAAGCAAACGGTGCAAAACCAGTGGGGTGGGGCACGCTGTATATTTTGAGAACGGTAGTCGCGAAATGTATTGTACCTGGAGACTGCTGATAAGCTACTGTGGCGATCACGGAAAACTGGGGGACTCCGGTGGAGCCAGGGGGGGGAGTGCATCCGTCCTAGGGGGGATGAGGGCAGTCGCTTGACATGCATGAAAAGCTGGAGTGTGTGAGTTAGCATCATAGCATCTCACGTCATAATAGGCAGCAGCAGCCCTCATTTACGTAAATTTCGCGCCTACCGTATTCAAAAAATGTGAGGTACCCATACCCGACTTGTAATGCATACAAAAAGTTCCAAAATTGACGGTTTCTTACGAGCTGTTCAACTCAGGCATGTTTCCGTAAGAGCATGTCCGAAGTTTGATTTTGACTTTTGAAATGCTGCATCAAAGAAGCGCGAGCAAACCGCAAGAAGTGCAGTCAGATTGACTAGTCCTCAAATGGACGCGACCTAACCCGGTTATATCTGACTTTGACTACAATCTTAACCACAATTAAACCCTAAACCAACCCTGACCTTGTCTGGATATCCGAAATTCTCAGTTTATTTAGTATGAACGCAACCAATTTGCGTTGCGGACGCAGTGAACCCGTTCCCACTATGACCACGAGTAAAGTGGGTCTCGGTAAGAAGGGAGATTCGTCGAGCAGCGAACAGCGGCTCAAAGATATTCTGGGAGGTCCTCTACGTTCACTGCAACCCTTTAGCGTCGAATAGTAAGACCAAGTTAAAGGCGGATTTCACGATGAAAAGATAGGCCGTTGGAAATAAGGGTAGAGGTGGTCAGTGGAGCAGGGACGAAGTAGAAACCATAAGGAACCAACGAAAACCATGGAAAAATAGGATCCGCTCCTTACTCCAATGAATCGCACGGTTCATTTCTTATGCGGTGATGCCCTCTTCAACGCTCACGCTTTCTCGCTATCTAATCCCTCCCGCGTATAGACCTGCGGCGAGTGATTAGATAGTCGGTGGGCGTTCCGAGCCAGTTGCACAGGGAAGGCCATTCTAGATTGCTGGGGGTGTCGCGAACGGTGACGCCCTCCTTCCGAACTGCATCAGCCCACCACGCTGCCTCCTGAGCGCCCACCAGGAGGAGCGGACCCAACTTCCCCCCGGGGACACAGGGGGCGCCCGTCGGCAGCTCAACCTACTCACTAGTGGCCGACGGGCTGACCTAGGTAAACAGCCCTACTAAACCCGAGTGACACACAACAGACCGATATAATTAGGGTAAACCCACATATAATACATAGAAAACACAATTATATTTACTAACATTTATTATGACGTAATAACTCACCATACTCCTCGAACTCCCGGAGGTCACCTCTCTCAGAGGTGAGCCCGCCAGCTACTCGACGTATTAGACCCGCCAGGGGGGGGGGGGGGGGGGCGTTCTGTTCCGGCTTCTTCTGGGGGCTCCATGCGGCCGACGTGTCCTATCTGGGATGTTGTAAGGGCTGCTCCCAGACGGGGAGCAGGGGAAGGACACGACCGGCTTTGGGATGACAGGCGCTCCGCCAACATGGACTACGGAGCGACGTGCCCCTTCGCCTTAGCTGGCCTCATCGCGTTGCCCGGTGAACACCGACCTGCCACCGGTGGCCAGCTCCTACGAGCACCGCCGCTAGGACGGTGCGCGTAGCGCCGACTAACTGGCCTCGACCGCAGGGAGGCGGAAGGCCGGGGCCAATGGCGCTGGAGCGCGTGGCAACGAGCGCAAGTGGGCCGGGGCGCGCGGTGCGCCCAGCGGGCCACCGTCGCATCCGCGCAGGGGGCATATCCTCCGCTGCAAATTGCGTGTTGGTCCGCATCCCCAGGGAGTCCGTTTGTCTCTCCACTAGGTAAGGTTCCCTCCCTCGACCTTCATCCTTATCGTGGAATCTCCTTTAATAGTAAATTAACTTTTGCATGGGCGCATCTTTTTTTCAGACTTTAATCTCGGAGTGCATTGGCACTCTCCGTCTCATACTGCGCCTCAGTTTTGCGTCCGTTTTTCAGCTCTTTCCCTCAGGCGATCGCAATAAGCTCAGGTATCGCGTCCCTAACCTCGTGCTGAATACCCTGTGCGGAGTACTTCTCAGGCCGTAAAAATGTAACGCTGCCTTATCTAGCTCGAGCTAATGCTCGTGAAATTCAGTGTGAATGGGATCTCCTTCTCTTGCACTCCTGCCTGACTCTATGGAGAAAATGATGACTTCAATGAAAGTCTCGAAAATGTTGCTTGGTTTGCTGCCTTCGAAGGTACCAATCGACTTATGAGTAATAACATAGGTTCTGCTCTCTGGTTACCATAGGGTAGCCTACATGTCCTCTCCAGAGACCTCCTATCGTTTAGAAGGGATGTGTAGCCTCAGCATTAGAACCTCTACTAGCACGAGTTTTTTATGTCTTTGACACTGGGTGAGTTCCTGAAGTGGAATTATGCACTTCTCACGGGTATTTCTAAATGGACAAAGCTCATTTGGCATGTGATTTGTGCTGAGAAACATGAGAATATTTATCTCGTGGTTGTACTAATTAAAATTTTCAGATAAAGAGCAGCACGGCCTTCATCCTGGAGTTTCAACGAGTACTAGTTCAGCTTAGCTGGCTTATTTGACTGGAGCGTTGCGTTAGATCCAAGGTGATTTGGGAGATGTTGCTTATGTAGATCTGTCCAGAGCCTTTAAGGAGATGAATCGTGCAGAACTTCATTCACAAACTAATTTTGTACCAAGACTGTTTGAGTGGTTTGAACCCTACCCATATGAAGGGCATGCTACCGTGAAATGGGTAGAGAATTCTTTGACCGACCACTGCCCCAGTAGGTGCTTCAGGGTGAAGCGCTTCTCAATTCTTCTCTTCTGTACTTCGCACTAAGCCTCCATTTCGCGGGGTAAATAACCACGTTATACCGACGACATTTATTCAGTATGTTCAGTGGCGTCGGCGAAGAATGCAATCCTCCTTCAAACGTTACCCAAGGTAATGGATGGGCTTCAAAGTGGGAACTTGGAGCTGACCCAGCAAAAACTGTTGTCCTGCACTTCGATGAACACCCTTGTGGTGATTACAAAACCATCTATGTAAATTTGAAGAGTCTCTAAGAACCTCTGAACCTCATTGATTAAGCAACTGCCAACTGCCACGAAGTGCAATCCGACTTCAGACATTGGTATGTTCACGTGCTCAAGG